TAGGTCCGGCAGGAGGGAATTATGAATCTTATCATCCACCAACTGACCCTCATAGCCAGTCTTCCACATCAGCTGAATTATAGTATTCAGGAAGAGGTCTATTCCTCCTCGAGCTGTGTGGGTGAGGGTATTCCATTGGGCTACAGCATCATCTCTAGAGATGGCTTCACCGAAGGCAGCTCTAAAAGCATCCACAAAGGAATCCCAGCGCTTCCATCTCTGATCCAACTGCACTGACATCCCGGCAAGGTGGTTGGCGGAGGCTTGATCAATTGAGTTGTGGTATGCCTCATACCATCTGATCGCTGCCTCTCCTTCCATCAAGTTGCCTGCATATCGGATCTTAACCTCCTCAGAGGTAAAGGATAGGCTCTCAATGGAGAAGACATTCTCACATTGCCGGATGAAGGTCTCCACTTGCTCCGCCTTGCCCTGGAACTTGGAAGGTGGTGGTGCCTTTGGTTCTCGAGCCCTGGTGGAAGTAGAAGGGTGAGAGGCGGCCGGAGGTTGGAGCTGCTGGGACATCATAGCCAACAGATCCTTCTGCTGCTTTTCCAACTTCTTCTTGAAGTATCTCCGCCAGGCTCTTCTATCACCACCTTCTGGTTCCGAGTCTGAACTGTCTGAATCTCCAGGAGCAGGAGCTTGGGCCGCGGGAGGTGGAGGGTTCTGGTTTCCACCGCTTCCCCCTTGTGCATTGGCTGGAGGGGGAGCGGCGGCCGCAGCAGGAGGGGCCACAGGTGCTACTGGTGCCGGATTGCTGGCCAAAGGTGAGGTTGCTGCTGGTTGAGCAGCCCCAGACATGGTAAACCTTCCTGGGTTCCTGGCTAGCGGACTAGGAGGTCCTCGGCCTGCACCTGAGAAAAACTCTCCTTCATAGTCAAAGGATCGGTCGGCTCCTCCAAGGAGTGGATGTGTTCCACCGAAGCGGCTAGGTGGTAAGGGTGAAGCCCCCACCGCTGGCTGCACAATAGGGATAACTCTCCTAGTGGATCGGACCGGAAATGCTGCAAAGGGGCTGGTCTTCCGCTGCATTGTCCTGGTAGCTGCTCTGGAAGAGGACCTGGAGACTGAAAGTGGTGCCGGAGTTGCTGGTCTACCCACCACCAACCTTCCTTCATCAAGAGCTCTCTGTATCTCGGCAACAAAGTCTGGTGGAGTGGCCGGATTTGTCCACTCAATCTCCATGGCATCAACATCGGCATTCAGTTCATCTTTTTCTGCATACTTCCGGAGCTCTTCCTGAACAGAGTTGACTTCCGACCTCATGTACTCTAGAGCTTCTGCCATCAGAGCATTCTGTGCTGCCTGGCGCTCTTGTACAATTAGCAGTGCCTGACTGCCTCGGTTCAACTGACTCTGCAGGCTGTGCTGGAGGTAGGTCTGAAGCTCTGTGAAGAACTGTTGTAAGGAAACCTCGTCGGTATCCTGCCAGGCAGGCTCACAGCCGGGAATATAGGCCTGTAGAGCGGTCCTGGGTTTCTTAACAAGCTGTGTCTGCCCGGTGGCATCAAGCTGGAGGGGCACCGGCTGCCATTCAATCTGAAGGGGTGCATCTGGAGCCGAGAGGGCGGACATTTTGTATAGGGGAAGAATAATCTGAAGGTGACTTGAGCCTTAAAGATTATCTGTAACGGGGGTCCTTTCTAAGAGAAATGAATTTGTATAGAATAGAGACGGCCGTGCAAGATAGACAATCAGGTTGCAGATTATTCAAAGATACTATCGCTAGAACTCAATAATCTTTAAGGGCTCTGCTACCGATAAGAACTTGGTTTTTCTTTCTGATGAAGACTGGAGAGAATAGGACTGAAGGGCGAGAATGAACCTGAGTACTTATACTCCGAAGGCCTCTATTCTCTGCTCCTAACTCCTTTACTAAGTTCCGGTGGGCCTTCCCTCAGTACCGGAAACAATACCACCGCTACCCCGCTTTTCTCTAAGCGTCAGCAGGTGTTTCCGATACCCAAGGCAACCACCCTTAGTCAAAGCCTTTGTAACACCTGCAGCCTTGGTTGCCACACAACCGAGGACCTGCATGAATGAGCTGCTGCTCAGGTGTAAGCTTAATCATTGCTGTAGAGCTTTTTACTTATTGTAGACTTCCCTAGCATAGTCCCTGCCCTTCGGCGGACTTACAATGCTCAGAGGATACAGTGGATCACCGGACAATCAGAGCTTCACTCTGGCCGGTCTTCTAGTCACTGGCGAGGCATAGACTCGTCAGTCATTGCTCCCATGAATAGATCCCCTTCCTAGCGCCCGGAATGTAGTTACTCTAACAGCTGGTAGCTAACCACACTGCCGGTACTTGCATATCACCGTGCAACTGGCTTCTAACAATAACTCTCAGCATGTAACCGGGCCCTGTGTGTACTCATACACCAGACAGTTGAAATGGCTCCGTTACAGGCTTTGACTAAGGGTGGTTGCCTTGGGTATCGGAAACAGCTGCTGACGCTTAGAGAAAAGTGGGGTAGCGGTGGTATTGTTTCCGGCACCAAAGAAAGGCTTCACCGGAACTTAGTAAGGAGTTAGGAGCAGGGAATAGAGGCCTTCGGAGTATAAGTACTCAGGTTCATTCTCGCCTTTTCAGTCCTGTTCTCTCCAGTCTTCATCAGAAAGAAATATCAAGTTCTTATTGGTAGCAGAGCCCTTAAAGATTATTGAGTTCTAGCGATAGTATCTTTGAATAATCTGCAACCTGATTGTCTATCTTGCACGGCCATCTCTATTCTATCTTATTCTATTTCTCTTAGAAGAGACCCCCGTTACACTGTGTGTACTCATATACCAGACAGTTGAAATAGCTCCGTTACACTAAATTCGAAAAGACACTTGATTACCATTATGTATATTGATAATGATAAGAAGAAAAAGAGACTCAGCCGAATACAAAAATACAATCTAACAAAATGCCAAGGAACATGCTTTGTCATCTCATGACAAATACTTTTGCTAACATAGTTTTTTAATTAATTTATTTATCTTCAAATATGCCAAAGAATTCTCACACGTGGAGCACATTAGCAATCATAATTTTCAACTTGTATCGTTCCTATTGAATTGCGGTCTTCTGTGTCTGGATCCGGTCCAACGGGAGGGACTATGGTTTCAATGAGTCATAGTATATCACTCGATACATTGACCCCCAGTTCCTTATCCGTAATGCTTCAATTTATTGAAAATATTCTCTCGCGTGTTCCCTGATCTAACTCATGACTCTTCATACAATATGACCTTTGACCAGTTCACTCATTCTAGTGCTTAAATTCCTACAAGCGCTACATGATTTACTACCCCCTTGGAGAATTCTGCGCATGCGTTGATTGATGAGCGAAAGCATCCTCATCAGAAATATGTATGTACTTTAGTTTAGACCCATCTGGATTCTCTGACGGGGTAAACTCGGTAGAAATGATTCTTCGATCCATTTCATCTCCTCGTCTCGAGAACGCGCGGCCCAGTTTTTGCCTGTCCTCAAATTGTATACAATACATTGTTTAGATTTGGCCCCTTAGATGAACAACCGTCGATATACTTACCAAGATACCCCATGACTAGAGAGCTGTAAAGTTGTGATTAGGCTACAGGCTGAACGGGTACCCTGCGCAACAAAAATGAATGACTATGTTCACATGAGCCGCACTGTACCGGGGTTAGCGCAAATACTTTTATGAGAACGTGAGACTGTGTTGTTCATCATTAAGTTTTTGGGTCTGCTCGGGGTTCTGATCTTGGGTGATCTTTTCTTCAATTAGATAAAAACCTTCTAGCATCACCAATTAGCCTATATGATGCTACGTACACCGCAGGTTGTAGAATTTGAACTGTATGTTGTTGGTGCCTTGCTAAGATTCCAGATGCTAGCTCCAGACGTGTTGGGAACGATGAGGTAACAGCAGCCCAGGTCTCAGCAGTTCAGGTCTCGTTGACGCCATTAGTACCTACATGTACATACCAATCCTTTCGACCCGGTCGTAGGGATACATAGAGTACATACTCTATGTAGATATCTGTTGGGGGTGGGTAGGTACCGTCATATGAGGTAATGAAGATGTGCATGTGGTACCTACTCTAGACCGTCACCTAACCTACATTACCTCAAACTAAGCTTATGAGACTTTATGTTGTTATTGAATACATATAGGTATGTCAGCGTAGACCGAGTCACTGACCAAGCACCATTTCAACAAGTTAGCGCGATACATTGACTCTACATACTTACTCTTGGTGTATGTTCAACCGACAAGATGCTGCGTGATCAAAATTTATTTCGGAGGTCGACAACTCGCGAGGAAGGGTCGTTCGTACCCGGCATATTTTGCGGGGAAATGCACGCACTCCTGTTCTGCAGGCAAGAAAAGAAAGGAGCCACAAATAACCCGGCTCCGAGATTATCGCTAGGAATCTGCAAATTTCCGGTGATTTTACTGGTGTGCTCCGGGCTCCCACATTCGAGGATGCAGAGCGAGTGTCAAAGGGTTTTGCCGTTTGATGACCCCTGAGTGGCTTGAGGCACTTTTATGTGTTAAATCATGTCTTAGAGAGTTCTCGAACCACCAAACGAGCAACCTTTCCAACTCTCCCTTCTTCCTTTCCTTCCAACATCCAATTATTACATATCCATAATCAGTATTGTTTATTTTTTTTTCTTCTTTTCACTCGTTTCTCTGATTTGACTCCATAGTTTCTTCCGTTCATTCTTTCTTTTCCAAGGGTATTCCATCATAATACCTATCCCCAGTCCACCCTTTCCCTGACTCCACTCTACCCTGGTTCCCCACCTCTTTTTACCATTTACTATCAGCGCCTCAACACTCTCACCTTTGATTCTGTAGTCTTATACATTCAACTTATGTGCATTTTGCACAATCTATTCACTCCCTCGCCTATTCTGTGCTGTAGTTTGTAGATATCCAGAAGGAATGTCGTCCGTAGGCCAAACGCCTGTTTCGTCGCCTCGCACAACACCTACAAAGTCCTCAACCTCACCCACAATGGCCTCCACTCCAAATATCACTAATACCCCTCCAACGACTCCTCCATTTCAAGGGTTCTCGGCTCCTCCGTTAAGAAGAATCGCGTCTACCTCTTCAACCGCATCTTCTTCATCATCAGCCAGGTCTTCGCTGGGCGGTCGCAGCGACACCACGGCCAGGAAGAGGGGTTTTATGCGGCCACAAGGGACAGAGTTCTCGACATCCGCCAGGTCACGGGAAAGCGTCATGGCTCTTGGGAGTATAACTCACTTGCAATACTTTTTTGCTAAAACAGGCCTTTTGGATGGGAAGGGAGCGTGAGTTGCCAGAAACTCCCATTAATTGTTTGGTTTTCCATACTGAAAGCGCTTTATGCGTATATAGTGGTCTTCAGACAAAGCAAAGCTCCCGGAATTCGTCGAACCAACTTACATTAGACACAAGCTCGGCATCGCTTCTACAGGACTCGACGTACTCCTCACTTCGGTCATCTCCCGATATTCTTGGACCCTGTGAGCAGGAATTTTTCTCAGAGTCGCCTACGGAATCAGAAATGCTTGATGATTTCGATTATGACGAATCCTCAATGCTCCCACCCACAACCTCGACATACAACCCCCAGACAAAGTCAATACCACCAACGCCGGATCCATCTGTTCTACGGGAACAGTTGAGGGGTGCTTTATCTGCCACCAGGGTGGCCTGGATTCAAAGTCCTGTGGTGCCTCAGAAGATTGGAGGTCAGGAAAGCGGTGCAGATGGCGATAACAGTAGCGGGATTGAGTTGCCTCCTGGGTTTAACGAGCTTCAAGGAACCCAGCTCGTAGAACTAGCAACCTCTGCGATCAGAGCAGCTAAGGCTTATTACATCACAACAGATTCTTCCCTTCTTCTTTCAACGAAGGATGATAAAACCCTACGGGAAAAGTTCCTTGCTATTCTGGATATATTGAAAAGCATGGCTCAGCGCAAATTTGAAGGTGGGGTGAAGGCGGAAGAGAGGGATTCTGTAATTAGCTGGATTGGGAGCGTGGAGGAATCCTTGTCTGCGGAAGAGAAGGCCATCTTTGATATGCGTAAAAAAGGCAGAGAATGGCTGGAGGGCGAATGGGAAGGACGAGAAATGGGTTCGTATAGCTTAGTCCAACATTGATTGCCAAACAATTATTGGGGCCCTGTTATTAACAAAGATTCTCCTGGCAGATCGGAACCACCTTTTTTTGTCTTACTTTGACTCTTCCACGGAACCTCTACCTCCCGTCACATCAAGCACGGAGACGCCAACTCTTCCAACTCCGTTTCTCTTAGCTCTACAATCAGGCTTACGGCTGATATTGATACATAATGCCGTAGTTCGCCGCTCGAAACGACCTTTTGGGCAGATAGGAACCTACCATACCGAGTTCACGAAGCCTTATAGATTAGCAGAAAATCTGAAATTTTGGAAGAAAGCAGCTGAAATCAGATGGGAGATTAGGATGCAGTTTGATGTGATGGCGGTGGTTAATGGTACCGAAGACGGATGGAGGGCCTTTGACAAGGATATTAGGCTTTGGTGCGAGAAGGTTCTTGGAGAGATCAGGAGGGATTGGGAAATGGGCGCAGGAGCGGCGGTTGTCGGACATGAAATAGTTGTACGACAAGGGAGGAGTGGGACAATGGAAAGCTTAAATGTTGAAGTTGGCGCTGGATACCACAATTGATTCCAATCCATTCAGTCAGTCTCTTAGTCGATCAGTCACTCAACCAGAGTATTTGGTCGGGATTTAAGAATCCTTTCTCGAATGAGGTACGAATACATTTTTCTTCCTATTTTCATTTGTTCGCATGAAGTTTGTTGGTGTTTGGGGAATTATCTATTCGTATATTGGTTTCGCTTATCGGTCGTTTTCTTTCTCCTTCTCTTCCTTCGTTTTATTACTACGTTTAATTCTCCTACAGTCAGGTTCTTTTGCGCCCAATTTCCTTTGTAATCCCAACGGAACTTTTCACTCTCTTTCCTGTAAGATCTCCTCTAAGGAATGTCGGGTAGCAGGCAACCCACACACACACAGACACACACGAACAAAGCGAATGATTTCCTATGTCACTGTTCAGGTTTTAGTGCTTTCTTGTCGGAGAATAAATTCTCACCTACTTGGACAATAGACTTGTCTATCCTGAAATATAATCCCTTTGTTCCTCTTGAATTTCTGTCGGCAGTCACAGATACTTCAATCTTATCTCATCTTTGCTCGTTTTAAAACCGGGGGCCCGTGTTAGTGGAAATTTCCCACCAAAGTGATTTACCTGTAGCCCGAATGAATACCGCGGGAGGATATTTCTGGACCAACGCAACGCACATGTTGTGTCTGTTCCTGTGATGGACCCTTTTTACCACTACTACAGCGGCGACTAATGGAGGCACAAATTGAAATTTTCCTCGTTACTTCCCTAGATTCTATCTCCCCATTCGTCTGGTGGGCCGTTCTTCAGGCCCTACTGGACTGTTGATGTTGGCTAAAGATTGATCAACAGTGCTCTAGCTTTGGCAGGCTTAAAATGGGTCATAAATGGATAGTTGATGTAAGATAACGTTCACTGCACAGTTACAGATTCTGGTAAAATTATTGCGAAAGTGGGTTCTCCGTGACTCGATAGTCCTATTGGCCCCTAAAAGGTTTTTTGCTGCGGGCACAGAGCTCTGATTTTCGCAATAATTCTACCGGAAACTGTAACTGCACATGCAGGTTATTTCCACGGCGTGCCATAGCTTTCTTCCACTAATTGCCACAGAAAGGCACAGGTGTTGAATACAGACGAAGAAGAGTTAACTACTACTGCTCATACTTCATCGGTTAAGGTTTTGTAACAGACCGTGCCATTATTCCCGTAATTTCTATCTATAAAAAAAATGTGGCCATAGTTGTCCGTGTTTTCTGAGAAAGGCTCATTACCTCTCATGAGTACAGGCAGTTGTCAAGAAGGCGCTGTGCCTACTTGCTGCGGTTCACGTACAATATCAGGGCCAATGATCACTGAGAACCTGGAGGCTTGGTTGTTACATGAGGCTAACTAAGGTCTTGGCGCGACGCTAGTACTGTTTTTAGATACGCATCTTACAATTATGAAAGCACATAGAAATAGAATTATATAGTCATTTGGCTTCAGGACTCATATTCCACCGGTCCTAGTCAGCAGGCAATGTCCCAAGAGTCTCGATCGGGATCGGTTCTTTGAAACCTATTTCTCTCGGCGGTAACCTTTCGGCCGTTGCCCTGGGACTGCAATTTCCGCTCCTGGCTTTACAGGATATACCAATACATACTAAGTACATAAAGTACTCATGGGTCAATTTTATAATGACCCAACTTCATGTATGTAGTCTGCTTCACATTTATTAAGTATAGGGACACCCGTTAGTATGATGACGCCGAGTTTGTGGGGATAAAGAATGCAAGGAAGTAAAAGCGCAGAATTCTTTTTTGATTCACTAACGTTCTAATAGCATAGCTCTAGGCTCGTCCCCACCCCCTCTACTTCCATGCTTCCTTGCTGCTAAGTAGGGGATGGGTACGAGACTAGCATAGCTCCTATACCCTCGATAAGCGTGAATATTGCTTATTTGTATAGCACATACCCAGAAAAACGTAGGAAATCCGAGGAAATCACCATGGGGCACATAGGGCAACATTTTTATTGTTATGTCCTTAGAGTTCCGCGATGAGATTATCCTGCAATGACAACCTGGGATATTCAGCGATAGCACATACATAAGATCACTTGTCTAAATTGAATCACGACTAGTGGTCTATCTGGGATATTTACCTCATTTGTATTAAAAGCAAGATAATCCATTGCAAGGTAAAGGTTAATCTCTGAACCCAGGAGGAAATCGAGTCCAGGCAGCCCTAACCCTATATACATTTCTGTCCTCTAGTTTAAATACTGTGTGAGACCGGGGATTTGAGCGATTCAAGGATGTATATACCAGTACCACTAAACACAGACAATAATATTAATCGAGACGAGTCCAAGATAATACTGTTAACTTCCAAGCACTTGCACAGGGTCAAGCTGGTTATTACCACAACTATAATTAAATAAACAATTTGTAATGGTTGAAGTACAAAATAAGGAGTCTCATGATGATGACTGTACAGATACATATACCAAAGGTTTTTCTGGTATCCTAATTCTAAATAGACCAAGACTTGCAAGGCCATTGATGCTAGTTCAATGCCTTGTCGAATAATTTTGCTTAATGTACCCTCCCCTATCAACACAATAAAAGTAAAAAAATGATAAAGACCCAACTGGTAATGAACGACAGGCTATATAGATACAACACTTATTCCACCCAAAAAAATACATAATACAAGTCGGTAAACCAAACGAGGAAAGATTTAGTAAAATAAGCCGACTACTATGCTAATGTAAAAGAAATGAATGAAAATAGAACCCACGCAAAACCCCACTGTAAGAAACGAAAGAAACCCCCCTCTTTTTTTTACCTTTGTACCAAGGTTAGAAAATGAAACTCTCATCTATATTCCAAATCGTTAAATCCCTAAATTTAGAGTATCCACCCAACAATCAGCCCCGCCGCAGCGAGGGCCAGCCCGGCTGTTTTAACAGCCATAGTCGAAGAAGCAGCACCGGTATAGGTTTCGCTAGATCCGCTGCTGCTGCCGCCAGTTGCAATATAAGCGGCACCGTTAGCTCCAGCTGAGGAGGACGAGGACGACGAGGGCGAGGCCGAGTTGTGGGTGGACTCCGAGGAGTCAGCGTTGTTTCCTGATGCGCCGGAAGTTGCCTCACTTTTCGATGTAGAGGATGGCAGACGACCGCTGTTTGAAGGTGCGTTGTAGGCGGATGGGGATCCAGTAGCGGTTGCTGCATTTCCGGCTCCAGATTGAGGTCCGGCGCCGATCTCACCGCCGACGGCTTCAATTGAATCGGCAGATCCGCTTTGGTCAGTGTATCTGTACTCTTTGCCAGAAGAGTAATCCTGGACGTAAATCTTCTTGACAATCATGTCAAAAGGACCTTCTTTGTAGTTGGTAGGACCGCCAGACCACGCTATATAGATGTTAGTTATATGTGACACAGACGGACAAGAAAAAGCACTGCTGTACATACCGATAACACCAGGCTCATTATCAGAATCACCGCCAGACCAGATTCCAATTCTAGCTGTCATGGGTGTCTGGGGATAGTAATCACCCTTCACCATAGCAGGTGTCAAAGTACGAACCACGACATCATCAATCAGCCACTCCAATTTTTCGGCTGTCCAGTTCAATCCGTACTTGTGGAACGTAGCCTGGCTGTCGACTGTGTGGAACGCCCCACGATCGTAGGTTGCAGTATTTCCTTTGCCGAAGTAGTTTGATTGAGCCTCATCAGGTTTTCCCCCAAGCCATTCCTAGATAAAAACTCAATTAGATTTGTCTTCACGATTTGGACCCTTTGGTTGGTGTAACATACCCAGTCTATCTCGTCCAAATCATCTGATTGTAGGACTATCGAAGAGACGATACCGGCACCAGGAGCAGCTTTCATAGTAACCTCAAACTTCCCCCACATAATATAGAAGTTACTGACAATTGTCGGGGAGTCCTTGCTCTTCTCTACTCTAAAATGGGCGCCGTCGGAGCTGCCATATTTAACCATGTCTTTTCCAGCGAGGTACTTAAAGCTTGATGCTTCACCCCCGTAGATGTGGGCGTAGGTACCGGAAAGTGCGGGGTCCGCAGGGCAGTCGCCTAGTAGAAATGAGTAAGATGATCATAAAAATAAGTTGTGGGAAATAAACCTACGTCTTAGCATCGGGTTGCACTCCGAGTACGTCTGCGCAGAGACTAGAGACGACAGAAGAACTGGTGAAGCAGCCAGGATCGAAGCAATTGAGAAGCGCATTTTGGCTTAATGATTATAGCAAATATAAACAGAGAATTATGGTTGAAGGGAGGCTTTTATTAATGATAGTGATGGTGATTACACTTAGAGCAGTGTTGGTACTTTGACTGAAAACGGTATATGCTACAGCAATCCGGTAGGCCGGGATGGTGTGTAGGTTGTACAAATGATAGTAGTGGCCGAAGGCAGTAAACCAGCCTGCGGTAAACGACGGTTGAAAGGTATATCGAGAAGTTTAAAAATGAGTGTGGTAGATACTGTGGGACAGTTTCTGTTAAGTTGAAAAAACACGAAGATGGTGAGCGATGCTGCAAAGAACGTTTGGAATGTGGGAACAGGAGCAAGGGATTGCGGCTGTGGTAGCTACTTATAGTTACTTATTGGACCTGGCAAGATGTCCAAGGCGCAACCCGGTTTCCGCCCAGAACTGCGGAGGAATCCACGGACAATCTTTTACCTGCGACTGCTATCGTCTGATCTTGCACCAAGTGAACTCAAAACCACGTTCAGGAACTCGAACGTTTACTTGCCTGTTCTGGAACCTTTCTAACCTGCAACCACTCCAGCGTAAGTAAGCATGGCCAAACACTCAGAGCACTGGTAATTGGGCAAGAGGGTCGAAAAAAGGGGTAACCTTGGGCGGTACCTGCTGCACACACCCTTTAGTAATTGTTTTTTTGATGCGGCAGGCAGATTTTAGCAACGGCTTTTGCTGATGATTGTCGTAAGTCGTAGGTCGTGAATCGTAGAAATCGTTGTTTAAATCCTTACACGTAAATCATTCAAACAAAACGCTTGAGATGTGGAGAGGGGTATGTAGTTGGGTAACTGGGTTGTTGAGGGCTAGATGAAGAGGATGCACAAATACTATTGATGCCTGTTGTAGGTATCTGACTAGTACTGTTGGAAAGACTGGGTTCATCAGCAGGAACGATAGTTAATCCTCACAGGGAATTCTCCGGGGAGGAGGTATCTTTGATGGCACAAAACAGATACTGGCGATAATAGCTTGCTGTATCCGTGCGTTGGCAATTCTTGGTGGATGTCCTGTCCCTGCGTTAAGGATCGTGGCCAAACATGTTGTGGTTGGTACACCAAGATGGCGGATGGAACCAGTTGCACTCTACAGGGGCAAGATCATAACATGCTGCCAGTTTCAGCTAGAAAGTGACTGTAGCTGTTGATGGACAGCCACATCCGACAAAGTAACCTCCTGTCTTTGGGTGCCTTGGACCAATCTCAGCACGCTCTCGTTAACTTACTGAGTTGGGAATCCCAATAGGGATGTCGCTTGGCACTCCTGCCCCAAATCTAAAGTAGAAAAAGTAAATGATGCTCAGTCCGCACCTTAACCCTATTTACATCACGGTACGTACCCTTCAACTTGGCGCATTTGATTCAAGTCAAATTGCTTCCCAGTCTTGATAAACTATAAATATCCCACCTCTTGATCACGGACAATTCAGATGAACTGTACCAAGTGCATCATGTGTAAAAGATGTGCGGGAGTTGGCCGTTTTCGAGTCTTTATCTCCTTTTTTTTTCTTTTTTCTTTTACACCTAGACTTTACAATGTCCTATGTAGTATCTAGTATACATATGTCCGACGTCCGAAATATTGTGAGCACGGGGCTGAACTCAGAACCGCAAAACTTTGATCCTCCCCCTGCGCCACCTAGCCGTGCGCCGCCCGTGATGTCCCGTCCCAATATCATCAAGAAGATGCTGCCGAGGTACCGTGCGTGTGTTTCGAAAATAGTGTGCCATGCAGGCATATCCAGCTCCAGCTGCTTTCGAGAAAACGCGGAGGTTCCCCAACAAATGAAAACAAGACCCCACGCTAAATATCATGCAGAGAGCACAATCTTCTCATCACTGTTTGTCGTTGAGATCTTTCGTTGCTGCAGGAGCGCTGGCTGCTGGCTGCACTGCAAGATCTACCCACTTCAACATGCAGATCTGCCGCACCAGCGATTCGGGAGCACAGCCGGGCGCCAATACAGCGAGGTTTGTCGAACACCCCGCGAATTAGATTCTCGGGTTCGAAACATGGGAGAGGGGAGTGGCGTGGTGGAAGAGCGTGGAGCGCTTGCAATATTTTGATATCTTCAGGGGGACGTTCGTTTTGTGAGTGAGTCTTAGTGAAATATTAGCCACTAACTTAAGTACAAGAAGAAGTTTCCAACACGGAGAAAAGTGTGAAGGATGATTGGTTGGCATCTACGAACGTTTGAAACCCTTTTAACGTGCATGCACAACGTGTCTCTGGGATTCCTCAGTTCCGGGGTTTCCATGACGAACAACTCTCAATTAAAGTTGATTTGAAACGGTCGGCGATTGAGAAACTGCAAGGTTAAGAGACGATGCAGACATATTTTTCTCCGCTTTACAATGTATCTAGTTTGTTGCCTGTTAAGGTTATCTTTTATCCTCGTCTCCAACCAAAGCTGATTAGGCGTGGTCGTGCATTGCGCGTCCCTGAATGATGGCCCATGAACAATTCGTAATTCAACCAACCAGGCAGCGGTCAATTCGACCTCTCTGTTTTTAAGCGTCATGCGTCCAGCCAAACCTTATATCGGATGACGACATTAGATGAAGAATGAGCTTGCATTTCACTTATCACTCTTATCGTCTAGGGGCCATGGAGGAAGCCGGCCTATCAAACAGATCTACATATGATATAAGGAAGTCCTCATATGTTGTGATTACATGTATGTAGAGTTCTTGTATGTGCTCCTTGCGTGCAAATATTACATGCCTTACGTTAACATTACATGATGATGTAATCTTCTTAGAGTAGAGATCATTACTTAGTCATCTAAAGGTCACTTATTCCTATTATATTATCGATACATGTATACAAGTATACATGTACTAACTTGGTACTGCGATATAATGCATGTGCTTGGTTATGGGTACATTTAATTCGCGCTATTGGTAATGTGGCTTTATGTGAGAATACCGAATTAACTCTGTATGCTGCTAGAGATATATATATATACCGCAGTCAAATAGCATACTGATAAATGCATGTAATCACCGCTGCAATTTGAACACCTTTCTCAGAATTGCGATCACATGTAATATTGGAACCTGTAGTTAATAGTACGGCCTTAGAAATTTAGAACCTTTATAAAATAAAAAAATAGAATAAAAAGACGCCAATAGTCGGGCTTACGTATTATGCTTTTGAACGGGTTGCACAAAAGGAACTTCTGATCCATACAATAAAGCCGAATCCCAATAGTGCAAACTACATGTAACTGCGATAAAGGTGCGATGAGCTGTTATTCACTCCTCATTGAACTAAATGTACATGTAGTATCTTTTAAACCGTCGGGTCAGATATGAATGATGCAAATTAACCAAATACAGAAGCTGTGACACCAAGATCTAGAACTGAAGAATTGAGCAGCTGGTCAAGGCCTGCCCTCAGTTCTATCAGAAATTACAGTGATACCTCCTAGGCCTTCAAGCGTTCCTACATAGTTATGTAGCTAGTTTACAAAATTTATATCTGTCCTGGTGGCCCGAGGAATGCACCTCCATCTGTGATAAGTAATTCAATGAGAGAGTAAACAATGACGATCTTGAGTAGAGTGCAGCTCCCATACACTACTTGATCACTGGTTATGGTGAGGTCGGATTCGCGCTGCTTCATGGTTTATCACTCGCTGGACTCTCTGTAACCGTGAGCTGAATATCAATATGCGTTGGTATCGAAAGAAACACTTACTACCCTTAATTCCTTTGTCTCTAAACCTAGAATCATGTATTCGTCGATGGGAACCTTTAGAGTCGTTTACATGATATATGATATGTATCAATACAAGACGTGGATATTCATACACATGGCCTTTTTACATTCTGGTGTGAACAGCCTGGCACGGCCACGTGATGTATTCGGTACATGTTTAAAGCACTGGGTGTTGATAGAACAAGATACATTTATAATTCAGGGGCACATATTTTCAGAATATGGAGGAAATGTGATTCCTGTTACTGCACAATTTACCCCCAGCAAATCGTGGGTAAATATAAGATCGGCAATCGATAGAATAGAGTAAACAAAGCTAGCCAAGATCAAACCAGATGATGATTGTGCTGGAGATGGCGCAAAGGAGGGAAAAGAGAGCCGACAGGATACATGTAGTTCAGTACGCAATCAATACAGTTAACGAGTATGAGCGAAGGGACTACAAAATAATAAAACTGAATGCCATCACCCCAAAGAACACAGGCAACCGAGAAACTAGAAAGAGCTAAGTGAATCATAAAAGCGTCCTAATTGAGTAAAACGAACCTATCCACCCTCTAAAATGAGCGGCAATAGCAAAGCAAAGCAAAACTGGAAGCGATGCAAATAAGGTAATCGATGAGCGGACTTAAGTAATCAAGTATAAGTTTGGGACCGCCATAAACCGAAATCAAAACCACCGCTTTTTAGTTTTCCCATAAAATGATTGTTAAGCACAGGGAATGCCCATCACAAAGTACCAAACGACACAGAAAATAAAAGGTAAGAAATTCCTGTATACTGGCCACAATCGATCCCCAAATGATAATCTCAAGGAAAAATAAAGATAAAAAAATTTCTGCAGCAAAAGACACACATCCACAATGGCTCTAAACGACCAAATTAAAACGATTATAGAGCCGAGTAGCATGCGGAGGATGGTATATCGTAAATCGTTTTTCTGATGGTCGTTCCAAATTCCAACTAGTTCATCTGAAAGAAATGGTGAGTTAAAATATTAACAGCTAATGTATGCAGAATGTGATATCGCGTATGGTCGTAAAGGTCATCACGCCCGATCCCCCTCTGTCCCTCACATACATTCCCATCATACTTTCCTCGTCATCTCTCAATTCTTCTCAATTCAATGGGAAGATGTTCATATCTCATTCATTTTTTCGCTCTGGCAATTAACCAGTTCAGAACTGCATCTAAATTCGTTTCCTCTTTGGCTGATATAGCGTAGCAGCTGACTTCTCTGTTGGTGATATCCTTTAGGTTCATTGCCTCAATCAAGTCGTCCACGCCGATTTTATCGGGGAGATCGGATTTGTTGCCGAGGACTAGTAGAGGTATGCCATCGAGAATCGGCTTCTGGAGGAGATTGTGAAGCTCCTCTTGGGCTATTGGGAGGGACTCTGTATCGGCAGAATCAACGATGAAGCTTTCCCAAATTGTCAGCGCGAAATCTATGACTAAAGTAGACTATTAGAGGAATTACACTATAGCGTTAACACCCCGGCAATAGCGCTCCCACATTGAGCGAAAACGGGGTTGACCGCCAAGATCCCAGCTGTCACAAGTAGCAGGAATATTAGTTTTGTTTCGAAGGCTGGGTGCGCTAGACTAAGTTACGGACCATTTTAAAGTGACGTGACCTTTTTGTACCCTTTTCATATTGAAACCCACTGTGGGGATTGAACTGAGGCAATGTCAGCATTACCTCGCTCGGACTATTGAAGAGGGCGACATATAAGGTATACGCACTCGATGGTGAACTCCCCACCCTAACGAACAGATTGAAGAGTCAGCGGTTAATACTCCGACACAACTTTACACCCCGAAGATATGGCATAGCCAGAGCGCAGAGAACTTCCACAAAGGCCGAGACTTACAGCTAGAACCCGCAGCAAGGAAGTCTTTCCGGCATTTTGTAGCCCGATCATCGTGATATCCATTTCTGTCAACCTGTTTCAAACGCAGCCAGTCAGCCCTACGAGTTGCATTTGATCCCGAGTTTGGCCCATGACGCCATATCTGAGTTTGCTGTTTTGTTTGTTTTCCTCCCAAAACATTTGGTTGTGAAGAAAATCCAAAGTTTATGAACAACGAATCGAAGCGATAGGGTATTCATACCAGAAGAGGCTGAGAAGATACTCATAGATGCGACGGAAAAAGCCCGACATGATGGTTGTTGGTATGGGAGATCTGCCGACAGCGACGGACGACGAGAATGGGTTGGATAGACGCTGGAAAACAGATTCCGGCGGTCGGATGGCTAGCTGGTTAGAGAAATTCCTTGGGGTGAAAGTCAAAGAAAAGCGCTGCTGTTATTGCTGTGGCTGCTGGTTGTGGTGAAGGGGAGAGGGGAGAAGTTGTGTGGGTTGAGAGTTGTGGGTTGTCTGGGGGGTTGCTGTGCGGGAAAGAGGAGGGGAAGAAGGGGAATGGGAAGACCTTAGAGGAAGCCAAAGTCGAAGAATAAGGATATCAATAAGGAGGAGCGGTCGGTTTAAGTCTGTCTCGTAGGTATGTGATCCCGTGTCACTCGGCAGTATTCTTTTTCTCCTGGGTTTATTGATGTTGTTATTGATCTTCCGCTCGCCTGTTCTCTCTCATGCACATTTCACTGATTATTTTTCTTTCACCATCTTGTATCTTACTCGTCCTCCATCCAACTATTTTATCTTTCACTCTCTGCCCGTTTATTCTCTCCCTTTCACTATCTATCTATCTCAATCTATTTTCTCACTTTCCGGCTCTCGTCTATGCACACTTTATCTTGTGATATTGCCCACACTTTTTGTTCAATCTTTCCCTCGGAGGCGGCTCTGCTGTGTACGCGCAACACAAACCTGAACACAGAAAATAATAGTTGTGACAAAAGTACTCATATACTACGCTAGAGGACATATCGCTTTATCGCACTCCCCATCTCTCACAGTAAGAGGCAGACATAGGATTAGAACGATAGCGGCTTTCTTCTTCGTGCCGTGAGCTTGAGTTATCCTTACTGCAGCTCAGTCTGCATGTACTGTGCGGGAAGGGAGGAAGGGGGAAAGGCCAGGGAGCTGGGCGATTCTCTGCTATTCGTTCGCTTCTTGGGGTGCAGGCTCGGCTAAGTATGCACCATCGGTCATGAGTGGGAGGGTCACACATCTTGCTTTCACTCAGTCAGCGCGCGCATCCCCTCCACTGACACTCCGCACACGGAGAGTAGAGTACCACCTAGGTACATACTCTCAATCACGTTGGTTGGTTGGATGCCTATTATTGTTGTTACTGCTAGCCTCCTGCCCCTTTCGTCCCTTTCCGCCGCCGTTTCCGGTCACCTGCTCGCTTTGCTCCGGGTAACCTCGTAAACGGTACATTACATTTAAAGTAGCACAGCTGTAGAATCACTTCAAACCACATATGCATTCTCCACGTTCACAAAGATTAGAGTGGTATGTGATAGGACGGGGAAGAATATACAACTCAAGGTAATACTTACATGTACTATGTATACATGTATGTACTTTTAGTTTGAGGTTTATTATACATGTATTTATTGCTATTGCGTGGATTAGGGTTGATATTGTTATCGTTTCTTCATTTGCCGGGTAACAAGCAACCTTGCCAAGATTACTAGTATCAAAAAAAAATTAACTTTGCTCGTGGTAGCCATAGCGAGCCTTCAACCAGCGGCTGAGAGAATCGTCGAATTGAAAAACAACCTCCAACTAATCATGGCCGCAAAAAAAAGTTCAGTCGCTTTCAATACCCTTGAAAGAGAAAATCTTTTCAGAAATCCTCCCAAGGACAAATCGGCTTACCCAGCTCTACTAGCCGCCGTACAGCCTCATATTGACTCCTTCAATGCCATTACCGTAGATGGTGGCTTACTCGACCTTGCCCGGGAAGACATCGGCATCAAGTCTGTATTCGACGGAACAAACGAAAAAGGGAGCCTTGGGAATAAATTATCATGTATGGACTTCCTACTTTATTCAATTTTATTTCAATTGCCGAAGAGTTGAGAGAGAAAGAGAAAGAAGAAAGTGAAATCTCTCCACTTTAAGCTAATCGAGAGTCTTTTTTGGATCGAAATGACAGTGCGTGTTGACAAAATCTATATCGGAAAGCCTCGATTAAGTGATCATCGGGACAAGACCAGCTTACGGCGTGAAATATTCCCTTCGGAGGTGAGAATCAACATTTTTGATTGTCATTGTGGCCGAGTAGATGCATTTTGCTTAACAATGAAAATAGTGCAGAGAAAGACACATCACCTATCGTGGAAAGCTTACAGTGAAGCTCGGGTTAAGAATAAATGATGGTCCTTGGATTTCTCAAGACCGCGAACTCGGAAGCATTCCGGTCATGGTTCGAGTAAGTATATTGCAGGTCTTTCTCCGTGAATGCAGGTTGGCTCACCGACTCTAGTCAAATCGCTGCCACCTAGAAAATCTAGCGCCTTATGATCTCGTCGAACACAAAGAAGAATCTGAAGAGCTTGGTGGTTATTTCATTGTTAACGGCATTGAGAAACTGATTCGGCTTCTCATTGTTGCCCGTCGAAACCATCCTATGGCAATTGTGCGACCTTCTTTCGCTGGACGAGGAAAATCCTACACCCAATATGGTGTCCAAATTCGCTGTGTCCGACCAGATCAAACATCCCAGACAAACGTTCTACATTACCTTAATGACGGAAATGTTACTTTCCGTTTTTCTTGGAGAAAGAACGAATACTTAATTCCTGTTGTAATGATCTTGAAGGCACTCATCGAAACCAACGACAGAGAGATTTTTGACGGACTCCTGGCCACTAAAGATAGAGAAAATACCTTTCTTACAGATCGTGTGGAGCTGCTTTTGAGAACCTATAAAGGATACCAACTATATACAAAGAAGGAAACATTACAACATCTGGGCGAGAAATTCCGTATCGTCATGGGCGTGGCATCGGATATGAGTGATGTGGATGTGGGGAAAGAGTTCCTCAGGAAAATTGTACTGGTACATCTACAAGACCCGAGGGATAAGTTCCGGATGATGCTGTTCATGATTCGGAAACTGTATGCTCTTGTTGAGGGTAGCTGCACTCAGGACAATCCAGATGCCGTCCAGCATCAGGAAGTTCTTCTTGGTGGATTCCTCTATGGTATGATCATCAAGGAAAGAGTGGAGGAATACCTTGAATCTATCGTAAAAGAGGTACGACGAGAAGTAAGGCGGACGTCTGCGTTCGATTTTTCGAATAAAGAGCAGCGGACAAGAATATTTGCAAAGGTGAACGAAAACATTGGAAGCGCTCTAGAGTACTTTATGTCGACGGGAAATTTAGCCTCTCCTAGCGGTTTGGACTTGCAACAGGTTTCTGGTTTCACAGTTGTTGCTGAAAAGATTAACTTTTATCGTTTCATCTCTCACTTTAGAATGGTGCATAGAGGCAGTTTCTTTGCCCAATTGAAAACGACAACTGTCCGAAAGTTGTTGCCTGAGAGTTGGGGTGAGTGCCATATCCCCAGAGTCGTAACTTGATTATATCTAAGCCTTGAGTTACACAGGATTCTTGTGTCCTGTTCATACACCTGATGGAAGTCCTTGCGGTCTGTTGAACCATCTTGCTCATAAATGTCGAATCACGACCACCATCTCGGACACTTCTTCAATCAGAAAAACACTTGCTTCACTTGGCGTTGTGTCACCTGCAACTGCATCATTGCCATCGTCTGCAACCATGTGTATCCAACTCGACGGCTGCATCATTGGTTGGTGCTCGCCCAAATTAGCCCGTGTTGTTGCCGATACTCTCCGATACTGGAAGGTCGAAGGGTCTCACGACATTCCTCTGGATCTGGAAATCGGATATATTCCAGAGTCAAGAGGTGGCCAATACCCTGGAATCTACATTTTCTCCCAGCAGGCACGAATGATTAGACCCGTCAAGTACCTCCCACTAGACAAGGAAGATCAGATCGGTCCTTTCGAGCAGCCGTACATGTCGGTAGCCGTTACACCACCAGAAGTAGTCCCCGGAGAGTCAACCCACGTGGAGTTTGACCCTACCAACATTCTCTCCATCATTGCCAACATGACACCGTTCTCCGATTTCAACCAGTCCCCCAGAAACATGTACCAGTGCCAGATGGGTAAGCAAGCGATGGGAACCCCGGGAACAGCATTGCGGCACAGGAGTGACAACAAGATGTATCGATTGCAAACTGGGCAAACACCTGTAGTCCGATCCCCTCTCTATAACGAGTACGGATTGGATAATTTCCCGAACGGGATGAATGCGATTGTTGCTGTCATCTCATACACTGGCTATGACATGGACGACGCTATGATAATGAACAAGTCGGCGCACGAGAGAGGATTCGGCCATGGAACGATTTATAAAACGGAGAAGCTTGGATGGGCGGAGGAGAAGCGCCGCGGGGGCCCAAGCTCAAACAATCTTTTTGGGTTTATCAACCAAGAGGAAATCGAGGAACAGATCGACAGCATCCATGAAATGGGAGAATCCACAGATGAAGAAAAATTATTGAAAAAGAAGGCCTACCAGAACCTAGGAATTAAACAGGAGTGGCTAGAGACCGTGGATCTGGATGGGCTGCCAAAGATTGGACAACTGGTAAAGGCTGGAGACGCTGTTGCTGTGTATCACGAAGTTCCGAAAGAATCCGAGAGCAGGTCAAGGTTTCCGCAAAACAAGGTTTTCACCTACAAGGGCAGCGAAGACGCTTATATCGAGGAAGTCCGATTGCTCGGTACACACACTGCTCCTCTTTTTCTTTCTTTATTGGATCTGCTAACGACAAGCTACTAGGTGTTGAGGGCAATGATAATAAACCCATGCAGCAAATTTCAGTGAAATACCGCATCCCCCGTAGTCCCAACATTGGAGATAAGTTCTCCTCCCGTCACGGGCAGAAGGGAGTTTTGTCGCAAAAATGGCCAACCGTAGACATGCCCTTCACGGAGTCAGGAATGCAACCGGACATTATCATCAACCCCCACGCTTTCCCGTCCCGTATGACAATCGGTATGTTTGTAGAGTCTCTTGCCGGTAAAGCTGGGGCTTTGCACGGTATGGCACAGGATAGCACCCCGTTCCGCTTTGACGAGCACCACACCGCCGCCGACTATTTTGGACATCAGCTCAAGATGGCGGGCTACAATTATCACGGGAATGAGCCAATGTACTCGGGTATAACTGGGGAGGAGCTGCACGCAGACATCTATATCGGACTGGTTTACTATCAGAGGCTTAGGCACATGGTCAACGACAAGTACCAAGTCAGGACGACTGGTAAGATCTCGGACCTGACACATCAGCCCATCAAGGTAAATATAATCATGCCCTAAACATATGCGATCATTGTTGGAATTCTGACGTGATTATCTTCTTTTTTGCACTTTAGGGTCGTAAGAAGGGAGGTGGTATCCGTGTCGGAGAGATGGAGCGCGATTCCCTGCTCGCGCACGGCACTGCATTCCTTCTCCAGGACCGTCTGCTCAACTGCAGCGACTACACGCAGACGTGGGTCTGCAGAGAGTGTGGTAGCTTCCTGAGCACGACACCTTCGATCAAGAAGATTGGATTCGAGAGCCAGGTCCGCTGTAGAAGATGTGCCAAGCCCGCCGCTGGGTTCAAGGCGGAGGGCATGGTCTGGGAGGATGGCAACGGTGGCCAGTTTGTAGGAGGATCGAACACGACCGTCATCGCCGTGCCTTATGTTCTCAAGTAAGTGTTTTTATTTGCATGGTGTATCCGCAAAAGCTGTACTAATTAGCGGACAGATATTTGGATGTGGAATTGGCGGCAATGGGTATCGCGATGAAGTTCAACATCGCACCCTAAAAGATAAAAAAAGGAAAAAAAAAAGACCAAGGGTTGGTAGTGAGTGTATGATCATAGACAGGGATGTATGGGTAGTGTATATTTCTGCGGAGTGTGTATATAAGAGCGTTATTGATAATTACCAAAAGTTTCTCTTTCTTCACATCTATGTACTTTGCTGTAGTTTGTTGGAATTGGGGGCACGAGTTGTTTGCTGAGGTGAAAGCTTTGTGGAACCCAGTTGGGAGGCCATAGGAGCAATAAGTATGGCTACCTGCATGCACTCGACGCAAGCAGCAGACCATTGGGGGGGAGGGCCAGATAGGAAGGACTCCCGAGGACCCGAGCATGCGAGAGCAATCCTCACGGTTAGTGGCATACATGTGACCTCTTGTCGCCGTTTATGCATCGACGTTTATGGTGTCTTTCCCGGGGTGGCCGCGGGGGGGGGGGGGGGGGGGGGGGGGGGGGGCGTGTGCCAGAATAACGACTACTCCGGATGCTTTGCTTCTTTTTCGTGTGGGGATAAATTCTTGCCTGTACGATCATTTCCCGCGCAACCCTGTGGGCTCTAAAAACTAGTGCCCTGGCTTGGCACACAGGCGGCACTTCCCACGCACCCCACACTTCATGTCACAGCGGAAACCCTGTCGATGATGACAACGGCCCGAATCAACCTCCACTCACTCTAACACTCACCACCGAGCACTCCCTCATCTACAGCCCTCAACCCACAGCACCAGCAGCGCCATGTCCGCCCCCGCCACCCCAACAACCCTCTCCCTCCTCACCCTCGCCCACCCCCCCACCGCCGCCGCCACCATCCACGCCACCAAGCTCCACCGCAAGCCCCTCTATCTGCACCCCACCACCTCCACTACCACCACCACCACCGACGCCCGCACCGCCCGCCAAACCGCACGCGCCTCCTCCCACCCCACCACCCACCGCAAGCCCCGCCCACTCACAGCGCGCGAGAAGCGCGCCCTACGAATCCACCACCCCCCCAAGTCCGCGTCCTACGCCACGTTCGCGCCGCTGCACGAGCTGTGGGTGGGGTACATGCGCGAGGTGCTCGGCGCCAACTGCGCTGGCCTCGGGCAGGCGCAGATCGGGGCGCGGCTGGCGAGCGCGGACTATCATGGGGCGGTGCTGGAGGTTGTGCGCAGCAGGTGTGTTAGTAGGGTGGGCGTCAAGGGAGTGTGTGTGAAGGAGACGAGGGGGATGTTTTTTTTGGTCGGGGAGGGGGGGGAGGTTAAAGGTTTGTATACCTTTTGATTTTGGGGGAGGGGGAGGGGGAGGGGAGGGGAGAGAGGGCTAATTGGGGTGTGAGAGCAGAGATACCGAAAGAGCACACGGTATTCCGGTTTGAATTGCCGCTGCCGGAGGAGAACGATGCTACTACCCCGGCACTGGCGGATACTACGACGGCCCCGGGCCCGGCGACTACATCAGAGACCACGCTAACTACGGCGGCGGCACCGGCGGAGCCCAGGCGCATGGTATTCGAGCTGCACGGCCAGCAGTTCATGTACCGCGCTGCCGAACGGGTGGGAAAGAAGTTCAAGAATAAGCCGTTGGCGGATCTATAGTTTCCTCTTTCTTCTTTCTGCTTTTTGCTGCTTTTTTACTGCTTTTTGTTGTTGTAATTTATTCTCTTCGGCGGCGTGCCGGAATTGTGTATATTGATCATTGACGCTAAAGATACATGTGTAAATGTATGTATGTAGCCAGCCATTCCATCGTAGTAATACTTATACTCAGAAAGGTATATATCTAAAAAAGTAGCAATAGAAATAGAAGATAAAAATAGAAGATAGAATACAATTTATCTAAAGAAAAGAAAGAGATCGCTGATAGTAGTAGTAAAAAAACACAGCCCGGGTACATGTATCTATCATACACCCCATAAACCCACAAGCAAAGAAAAAGAAAGAAAAGAAACCCACTATGTAGAAGGATCCCCATGCTTCGTCCTCTTAATCGATCCAATGCGATGCTCCTTCATCACATACGGCTCCTCCGAATGCTCCACCGGCAGCAACTTCGCCGATATCACCTCCGAGCTACTCCCACTGCCACTAGCACTAGCACTACCACTCCCACTACTCTCCCCCGCCGCCGCCGCCGTCTCCTCCCCCGACGACGACGACGCCTCCTCCGCCCTCACCGGCGACTGCACAATCTCCCCCTTCAACACCGGCGTCGTCGGCGACACGGGCGACCCATCCTCCGTCTCCCCACTATCCTTCTGCAAGCCTAACTCCCTCTCTACAAGCGGCTTCGTACTCGCCTTCCTCATCGTCGGAATACTCTCTCCCTCCTCCGGCTCCCTCACGGGCCTATCGTGGCCCTCAACAACCTTCCAGACCACCTGCAGCCTGTCAAAGCCCTTGACGCCCTTCCGCAGCGTGCCCTTGATGCCATCCATCTTCTCCCAGTCGATCGCAAACACGCCGCTCGTGTCGTCGCCCTCAAAGTACGCATTGAACCACACATGCGCGATACTCGTCACCACGCTCCAGCCGTAGGCCGCGTTACTGCGTTTCTCAAAGTCGATGTTTACGTCGTTAGTCGCGAGGACCAGCGGGTCCTTGGGTCTATACACCACGGCGCGCCCCTCGCCCTCGCCCTCGTCGCCGCTCATCTCCTCCTTGCGGAACGTGTGGTACGTCTTGATCTGCTTCCCCTCATCGACATATCCCTGCACCGCAACACGCAGGCCGTCGCGCAGCCCCCACACGTGCACCTCGAGGATGGCGACACGGCGCTCGATGTACGTCTTGTTGAGTGCGCGGGCCCAGCGCTCGACGTAGTGGACCCAGCGCACCTGCGAGGGGATGGACACGCCGTCGCCGAAGTTTGGGCGCATGCGCGTGCGCGTGAACTGGGCCATTGCGGCGGCGGCGGTCCAGCCCTCCTCGCTGATGAGGTACGAGCACGACATTGTTCCGCTGCGGCCCTTTCCGGCTATTTTTGCGCTCGCCGCTCGGACTCAGCATTCAACCTCCGGTACAAGACACACACACCCCCGGATATTAGGGCAAGAAAGAGAGAGAGAGAGAGAAACGCACCTTTGCAATGCACCACCACGACCCTATCCGGCCCGCCCCGGACATGCTCCCTCATGCTCGCGACCGTCGAGGGGATGAGCGCAAACGGCGGGGGATGGTGGTCCGGGAACGGCGCATGGTAGATGCGGCCATAGACGTCCTCATCCCTGTATCCCGTGCCCTCTGCCCGAAACTCCCAGATGGCCCAGCTGTCGCCGTGCTGGGCGTCCAGGAACTTGAGCACGGCCGAGAGCGGGTTGCGGTACGCGTTCTTGGGGAAGGCCGTGGCGGGCATGGACATGGCGATGATGGTGGGGTTGGCGTGGTGCACATAGCAGAGGTCCAGGTTGGATTCGGGGTGCTGCACGCGCGGGCTGGCGATCAGGCTGCGGAGGAGGGAGGCCTAGGTGTGTTAGCTTTCGGGGGTGCCCGGGTGAGGGGGGGGGGGGAGGGGGGGTACCATGAGTGGGTAGGTGCAGTAGAGGGTGAGTGAGGGGAGGATTATGTAGGTTGTGAGTGTTGTGAGAGCTGTTTTCGTTGTTTGTGCTAATTCTTCAGGGTCCATGGGGGGGGGGGGAGCTTTAAGGGTCTTGGGAGAGAGCGAGGCTGTGAGTGAGCGAGTACGTGAGTGTTATCAGCACTTCTGCGGCCGTTGTGCATTTCTTGATTCGGCGGGGACGTCATCGATGGGCAGCCAGATGGCTTCTGACCGGGGTAGCTGTTCAGGGTCCGGGTTCCCGGGAGTGGGGACTGCGAGAACTGATTACTGGCACTGACTGATATTAGCTTAATATACACTGGGAAAAGTGGGGAACGTGAGCTGTCAAATGCCTCTTCTAATCCGCAGCAAACAATTCCATCCTCGAAAGCAGGAATTGGCTACGGGGATTTAATTGCTGCTATTGTTGGCGCATTGTAGCCTTGTTTCCAGCACCCCTAACCCTGGTTGCCCACAGATGCGACAAGCAATCGTTCACACGCCGTCACTCGGCGCCACTTAGCTAGGAGTGCACCTGCTTGGCCAACCTTGCTGTTAGGTTAAACCTGCCACAGGGGGGAAGGCAGCTTTGATTCCCGATGTTTCCCAGCGGAATAGCTATCTAGATCCATGGGCTTGATCTTTTGGATAGCGTAGCCTTTTACCCCGCTAAGCAGTGGCTTCCGGCCGGAACTGGCCCTGACAGGCACCACCGTCGCAAATAAACGTGGCCATATTCGTGTTCCAAGTACTTACTCTAGGAGCACTGTCTGTTCTTAAGCCGGGAGTCCTGTAGTTACATGTACATGTAGTTGTTCATAGCCATCAGTGCGCTTCATAGATACATGTATGTGGCTGTAGCGTAAGCTCTGCCTGTTTCCGATCTGCCCTCCGCTTTATCATATTCTCCTTTTCCCAATAGCATCTAGGCTTGTCTTGTTTGGGGAATTGATAGGACTCCATCCCCCCCCCCCCTTCCCCCTTACATACATGTATATACCCGCGGCCGATAGCTCTGCCTCTATGAGGTTCAACAGCTCTTATTTCCAGCAAAGCACGGGCCTCCGGGACTCTTCATACCCTCAGTAGATACTCCCTAAGAGTCTACACCACCAGCGAGCAGTATTTAAACCGCTTCGCTTTCCCACGGCCGGAAAATCGTACTCTTGTTGTGCGCCAGCACCAGGATTACTCACTGATAGATATTAGTATTGCGCAGTCGAAGAACACTCTCCTAACCCTCGACCTGTTACCCATCTGGTCTCATAATGGATAACTACGCTTCGGCGATACCCTCGCCCACCGGTGTTACTATGAGTAATGGGATATGTACCACCAAGCTCCAGACGCTTGGTGTAGGGTCCGCTATAGATAGTTAATTGGGGTAACGAGAGCGCCATGCAAGTAATTGTTTCCGGTACTAAATAGTATACGAATAGGCAGATACACGTCTTACCCATTGCCAGCCCGCCTCGAAGAGCTTCAATACCGGGAGAGGCTATATTATAGTAACACCTAGGCCTAAAATAGCGTTAAATGTCCGCCCAGCTGAAATTTGGATGCTATGCATGTAGAGGAGCCTTTCCAGTCGGTATTGGTGTAGGATCAATTGAGTACATGAACCCGCTCTTTAACCAATAAACGGCCGTTAGTTATCGTTATACGCCGCCATCAGCGTTTCCAATGGCGCAATACCAGAATAAATGGCTCCTAGGTGGTTGGTATCATGTTAGCTGCTCCGGCGGTATTCCTATCCAGTTAGAAGAAACCAGACACATGCACCGCCCTAGTTCAGCGCAGACCAGCTGCAGGTCAAGCCCACAAAATAAACCCGGTCCCATAGAACAAACTGTATGTCGATGACGCCCACCTCAAGCGGCACAATTTATTTCATCGGACCGATCGATGAAGATTAAGATCTAAACAGAGGTTTGGATGGAGAAGATAAGAGAGGTGAGGACGGGAGATGGGAGCGGGAAAGGTTGTTATGAAGCGTGGATGGGATAGAGACGGTGCCAAGATCTGATGGAATTAAGGTTTGCGGGGGGGCTGTTGGGAAGTGACGGTAGGTGGCATGTGCGTGTCTCTTTAAATATAAACCCCACCCTGCACTCCTCCTCATCATCACAAGACGATGAACCAACCGACGGAGGTCCAGGAGGAAAAGATGCACATATGCACATGTACTTATATCCTCCCCGCCAACATACCAGCCCTGGGGCGTCGCTCAGCAGAATGAACCAAATAACGCTAGCGGCAGCGGAGAGCATCACCCCGCGAGGGCTTCCGAAGCCATAGCTACAGATCACTATGAGGTTTCAATGCCTATTAACAATAGCGCATTTAGAAACAGCAACTTTTCTCACACACCGGTTATGGCGAGTGATATCTCATGATACACGCTGTGAGGTGTTTTTTCCGGTCTGGGCTGGGAAGGTCTAATTTACCCCGGGACAAGCGATAGAGGTATAGCAGCTACCGCTATCAGGACCAACCGCTGCTGTAGAGATGTATATATCTCCTACAGAAGAAAAAGAATGGTTCCAAGGCATGAAGTTTTTTTTTAAAAAAAAATAACTAGTGGCTATGTCTCCCGGGGCCAGCACATGACAAAACCCGCGTCCTTAAATAAGCTCGCAGCTCAAGACAGCACCCCAAGAAACATATATCCTTCTTGCTGCAACAGGGAGCTTGTTGACCTGGTAGCAACAGATCCTGCCAGGTACCTCCAGAATTTCCATGCTCTTCCATTCAGGACATATAGCATGCATGTCTACGTTCTTTGACTCTGGTGCACCCTTCTCGCGGCTTCGCGAGCTGGCCCACGGACTATACACGACCCCCCCCCCCCCCCCCGGGGTCTAACACGTAGAGTCATAGAGTGGTGCTCTTTTCATGAGCATACGCATTTTCTGGGACTCTACCTACACTATTACCGGAGCGCTATGCTCTACTTGGTTACATTCACGGCACTAAACGTCACCAGTCCTTTCATCGGCGAGTGACAAGCTGTGATGCGATCCGCCAATAATACTGCTTAGCTTAGCACTATATCCGTGCGTGTATGGCCTGTATAACGTATCTTATGCATTTCTCACGGCCCATATTTAATACTCAAACCAAAAACCCACAACGCAGATCGTATTTCAAATAACGGAGCTGGAGTGCGATCATATTCTATCACTCGGCAATACCAAGACATTCCTGTTGCTTCACAACAGTCTAGAGTATGCATTCTACTAGTACCAGCAATGGATAAACGTCACATTTTATCACTCGTGACCATATAATGGGCCATTCGTCCAGCTACAATTGAGATCGCCCGCAATCCCATAGTCCTCAATTCGAAACATCCCAAGGTGCGGAACCATAACTATACCCACACTAATTAAGAAGATAGCTCCAATACACCTTCGTACATGAGCGCGTTGCCCTCCCTTGCCCCAAAAAGCGAAGATAGCAGCAGCAGCAAAAAAACAGAAAAGGAATCCCTCAACGAGTAAAAACCTGATTACAAATAACCCTCACAGCGATAAAACACCAACTGTTTTACACTCAACCAAAATAAAATAAAAAGAAAAAGAAAAAGAGAGAAAAAAAAATTCAAATAAATAAAAAAACAAAACACATAAAAACGCCGTTATACAATGACTCGCGAGAATTCTGGCTGTTTTCCGCTGAACTCGCCTCCATTACCTTCCATCTCACCGATGCTACCCACACCGTTTGCCATCCTCGCGCTTGAAATCCTCCCACCGATCCATGTCCAAACCCTCATCACTTCACCAGATATCTCCCTCTCCCCAGCACGGACATTACTGTTCATCTCGACAATCTTCTGCACCCCGTCCCATAGTTGCTTGCGTCTCTGCGGGTTGAATTCATGTTGCAAAACCTGATCCCTCAGCTGAACGGCCCCAATCCACGGTTCTGTTGGATTGTGGGTCGCATGTTGGGCGAGTTGTTGAAGCGCGACATGAACCAATTGAGTTACTTGCTCTTTGTAATGACGGTTTTTCGCGATGTATGACCGGAGACGGGTTAAGATGACAGTGATAAGAATTACTCCTATATCAAAAAAAAAATACGTCAGAAGGTCCGAAAGGTAACAGAAATGGGAATGAACTCACCAATAAGCTCGATTCGATGTCTGACCATGGATCCGGTGATTGACTTGCGGACCGCACAGCCGAGCGGAATGCTAGCGAGAGAGGTTGATCGTAGGTAGGTGACATCTTGGCTGTGGATGTAACCATCGGCGACCTAAGTCAGATAAGAACGCTCCCCCTTCTAAATTGAAACGAAATTCATCCTACCTATTCTTGGTGGAAACAACCTCTTCCCGGTTCGATACGTCCTCTAGTGCATTCCTCCATAGCTCGTTGAACTGCGCGTCCGACAAGCTCGGCTGTATTGCAGGGAACAAAAAGTTAGCGATATTCAAACAAAGGCTGTGGACGATTGCGACACCACACAAAAGAAAACATGGGAAAATATTCCGCGGGACTAACGGCTTTTAGGTCATACAACACTTGCCTCAGATCGGCCTCCGAGACTCCTGCCTCCTCATCCTTTCCCAGCGAAGCTTCTCCACATTCAACGTCTGCTGCTCGTTCCCTCAAAACTCTAATCGCCTCATCCGACAAGATTGCGATTCTTCGAAGCTTCTCCGAATCTGGCTCACATGTAGGGGGAAGAGGCACTAGTCCCCCGAAAGAGAGTGGATTGGGAACGAGCACATAGTCGTCTTTGCAATCAGCTTCGTAGTTAAATCTGCAGATGGCATTTGGAGGACAGGGCTCGCATTGAGGGCGGATGAGGCTCGTCCAGTCAGGGTCGTGTGTTTGCATATCTGATACAACTTATTAGACAGACACTCTCCAAAGTAAACATCTAAGAGAAAAACAAACCAAGTTTCCCCAATCCGCAATAACCCACTTCCTTTTTCTCTTTCCGCCACCACATAAAATAGCCGCTCAGGAGCGCTATTACGATAGCCCAAAGCATATTTGTGCCTGCAGAAGATGTCTGACCACCTGTTCTCCTTCTTAGAGCACCGGGCTCCCTAGAGATTTCTTCGGCCTCTT